GAAGATGACACTGGCACTTTTTCAGTCCCCTTGTAAGCATTTTGCATACATTCTGTATCCATTCACATATACATTTTATGGTTATAAAGTAAGTGTTTTTTGAGGCCCAGAAGCAATTGCAGTAGGAAATGGCACCTTGCCAGCAGAGAAAACTGCCAATCCCAAAAGCAAGCAAAGGTAACAGTTTGGGTGGGAGAAAGTTATTTAAGAAAAAAATAGCCAAAGCTAAAGTAAATGACAGTAGCTGAAGAGGATGAATTTCCAATGCTAACACAAATAAAAGAAATAAAAGAAGGAAAACTATTTGTTTTTCCTACATTCCTCAATATTCCTGAGGCAGTCAGATTTCTTTTTCAAAGTTAAAGTGGAAATATTTAATTTCTAAATCTAAATTTCTAAATTTAAATAGCAACCTTTGGAATACATCAAGAAAGGTATCAAGACATTTCTGTCAATGGTTTTGCACTAATTACATTCTTATTCATTTATATACTTTGTTCTATATTTATTTACCATATTTTTCAGACTATAAGACGCTCCGGGCTATAAGGAGGAAAACAAGAAAAAAAATCTGCCTCTGCCTCCTGGCATCCATCTGGTATTCATCTGGGTAGCATCTTTGCAGCAAACAGCAAACAGCCCAGTCAGCTTCAGCACATTATCGCAGCCCCAGCACATAGCTTGTCAGGGCTCCGCTCCGTTATGCCCACTACCAGTTGGTCAGCTTAGCTGAGCTGCCGCCGCCGCCGGGGAACACTGGAGCCTTCACTGCCGAGCAGCTGATTGGTGATTGGATTTGCCTCCTGGAATATCAACTGTTCCAGGCAGCGGGGATTGTTGCAGCTCATCCGCCACAGCCCGTTTGCTGGCAAATAGGAAGCGGCAGCTGATTGGCAACGGACCTACCCCCTACCCCCCCCAGTGCAATATTTGCTCTATAAAATGCACACACATTTCCACCCACTTTGGGGGGAGGGGAAGTGTGTCTTATAGTCCAAAAATTATGGTATATAACTTGATTACAATGTCTTAAGAAAGCATAATATTTTAAAGAGAATACTACATATTAACAATATTCAAAGTAGTTACCCATATCCAGACATTTAGATACAAATAGATGAAACAGTTTTAAAACATTCTGTGACAATTCTGATTTTATATCAAGTACTATCAATAGATTTTAGCGCTTTTTTGAGTTTTTTAAATGCATCTAGTTGGCATTTGTATGATGTGAGACTAGATCAACTACTCCTGTATTAGGAGTAGGTATACTGAACTCAAATAACATACAACAGTTGTAACTGAAAAGTTTTACAGTTTATGATATTAAAATCATCAACCAATTGTTATTAGCAATAATAATGATTACACAAGCAATATTACATATTAAGTCCTAAACAGTATAATTATACAAAATGAAATGAGATCAATAAAGCCCAAACTTGGTTCTCTTAATATATGGTATTACTGCAGTGCAATGTACATAATGAAATGTTACATTATCAAATCTGTGCTAAAAAAAGCATCTCAGTTACAATTCAGCTCAACTCTGCTATATATAATTTTAAAATATGCATGAATATGTAGAAACCTCCAAACAATGGCCTTCGGTAAGCTAAACAACATGATATATAATCTAATCATTTGCCTAATTATTTTCCTTCTCTGTAGGTACAGCCTTTGAGAAACCTAAAAATATCATTTATAGGAAATTATAACTGGTATACAGATATTATGTCTCCCACTAACTAAGTGATATTTGATATTGAGCAAATTAGAAATGCTGTTGGTGACACTATATATTCTCCAGACTCTAGCCAATGAACAAATGCCCACATATATACTTTGGCCTTTTTGAAAAGCCAATTCTCTGTTTGTTTTTTTCTATTTACCCAATTTAAATACCATTTTCAAGCAATTGGTTTCAGCACCAAATCAAAACTGGCTACATCTGTAACACACCCATGTTGGCAGAAAAACAGCTTTTTCTGCAATATTTTGTTTCAAATAATAATGGAAGTGAATTCTTGGAAAGATAGAATATTGAATTCATAAGAATCAACAATATTTGGGGATTGTTATTTTTGAAAAACCTGGCTACTCTTTTTTATTGTGAAATTATATAGACAAGACGATGGTGATGTCCTTTAAATTGCTTTCCATGGTGGCCATCTGTACATGGCAAAGTCTTTGTGTGTCCTGATATACCACCTACAACAAGCTATTTCTCAACTTTATTTAAAGCCCCATTGAAGAAATAATCTGATGCAAACCATGAGCATGATTAGTTCTGCTCAAAAATAGTTATCACAGGAACAACATAGTGAGGTTTATTATGCACAGCAGTCTTTAGTTTTCCTACTTTGTTTTACCTCTTGAATTGGACAGATATGAAATTCAAACTAGGGCAAATCGTCAATAAAGAAAATATTTGGCAAATGGAGAAGCCTACATATTTCTTTTAAAATAATTTTCCTCATATAGCTTCAAATTATTTCCAGTTGAGAATGCCAATTTATTTATTTTGTTAAAGACACCTGTTGGCTTAATGCAATAACAGTTTCATAACCTCAAAGAAATTCATGTTTCCAAATTTTAATATTTCAGCATAAAGCAACATTATATTTTGACTATTTATGTTGTCAGCACAGGTGGATTAATCTTAAATTAGCAGCATGTATGGAAGAAAGAACTGTATCTACCAATGACATAGTCATATACTTTAAATCAGTGGTCGCCAACTGGTGATCCGACCACTGGTGATCTGTGAGGAAATTTTGGTGGTCTGCAGAGAAATGTCACCCTCAAAGCAATTAATCCAGGCTGCGCAGGAACACAAGGCTTCACCGCCCACATGGCCCACGGGAGCACAAGGTTTGAGTCACTTGCATTGTGAACAACATGAGGTAGTGAGGGGAGGGGGAAAAGGGTGGAGGGGGAACTTGTCCCACTTGCCCCACATGCCTGGCCTGGGCACCGGGGTGCTTCTTTCTGCTTCTTTCTTCTTCTGCTTTTGGCTGCATGCAAGGAAAGCAGCAAAAGTCTTTCCTTCTCTCCCCCAAACTCTGCCAGAAATGAGTCTTTGGGACCCTGCAAGGCATCCTGCTCCAAGAGGCTGTGCCGGCACGACAAGTCTCACAAAGACTCATTTCTGGCGGAGTTTGGGGGAGAGAAAGAAAGACTTCTGCTGCTTTCCTTGCATGAAGCCGAAAGTCTCTCTCAGTCTCCCCCTGAGAATGGAGCTGGAGATGGTATCCTGCAATCCCAAATAAAGAATGATTGATCAGTAGGAAAATGGAGTGGGGAAATTTCCTTCAGACTTTTTTTGGGATTTTCCCAGGGTCTCTGGTCTGCGGGTTTTAAAATTATGAGTTGGTGGTCCCTGAGGTCCAAAAGGTTGGCGACCCCTGCTTTGAATGAAGATACACTATAGAGCAGGGATGTCAAACTGACAGCATCATGTTGCTGTCACATGATGTATTACACCTTTTCCCCCTTTCCCTAACTGGGAGTGGGCGTGGCCAGCACATAACATATCCGGCCCGTGAGCTTGACACCACTGCTGTAGAGTCTCAGCAAAGGGAAGAAACATAGAAACATAATCTGTAATTATGTATGCACTGAAATGATGTTAATTGTATTACTTTTAATGATTTAATTTTGCTATATTAGCTTCCTTGATTGGCACACACAGTAAAATTTAAAAACTAATTCTTCTGCATCCATTTTCCATCTGCATTATAGACAACAAATTGTTAATTGGCAAAGCCCTAATTCAGACATGAAACACAAATAGCAAACTCACGTAGAGGCAGTGGAGACACTAATCTGGCTCAAGCTAAGAGTTCAAATGCAAAAATCATTTTGGGTAAATTTCATATTGTTAACACTCTGATTATATTTTAAACAAATATCTCTGAATGCAGAGATAATGGGGAAGAATCTAGACCCCTTGAAGCACATCTATGCCATAAGATCATCCATAGAAAATACCAACCCAGAAACAAGAACAGGGACATCACAAGCATTATAATATTTTCCTTAATTTTTCCCATTCCCCAATAACTGCACTCTAAAGTGACTAAGATTATACATATATTGGTGTGGAATTAAAACTTAAAGTTTAGAATTTATAAGTTGATATGTGGTATCAAACTGTTAAATTTATATATTGCACATTATTCCATGATTAATTTTCTCCATACACTAAATCAGTGGAAATTGTCCTAGAGTCAACTTCTATCTTGAAGCATATTGTCTGCTGTGTGACTTTTCCCCAGAATACTCCTCATACATCAATCCAAGTGAGGTCTGAGAAGAGGTGCAACTTAATCCAGGGCTGTTAAACTCCCGGCCTATGGGCCGGATGCATCACGCACTGGCCACCTCCACACCCGGTTTAGCGAAGGGGAAAAAAGTTCTGATACATCTTTCTAATCGAAAGCTCAGCGTCTTAGCCACTGAGCCACCGCGTCCCTATCAATAGGGCTGCATAGAGTATTTTAAAAAGTGTGATTCACATTACTGTCAGTAAAACATATCTACTCAACACATCTGAGAGCTAGTGAAGTATAGTGGCCATGGTGTTGGACTAATAGAGATACCCATTTACTCCCATTAATGGGAATTCACAGGATACCTTTGGGTCAGCTACCAGCCCAACCTAGAGGCAAACATTTCTTTCTTAAATAGGAATTAATCTTTGTTAGAAGATTGATCAATCCACTAATTTTAGAATATTTAAACTTCGTTGACACTAGGAGTACTCAAAACAAAAATTATTCATCATTAAAAATATTAAAACAAAAATTATCTTCCTTTGCCCTAAATGAAAGGAAAATATTGTTTCAGTCCCCCAAAGAATTATTCCATTTTTAAAGAAAACTAGAGTTGCCACAAATTGCACTCAACAATTCCAAGTCTTCTTCATTTGACCACTTGAAAAATCAAACTTCTCTAAGATTATAAATATAGCTTCTTAAATCTTTGTTATTACATACTGTGTAAGGGGAAAGGGGTCCAATCTTGTGGCCATAGCGTCGAATGGCCTCTCTGATGTGGGCAGGCTGGATGGCATCACTCTGGGCTTCTGCACCACAAGCTGCAGTACTCTGCAACAACAACAGCAACAACAACAAAGCACATTCATTGTTATTAAGTTGAAAACACATAACAAGCACACACTGTCAATTAATTAAGAAAACTGACCTTTGTAGAATTTGTTTATTTTTTTGGAAGAGACATTCCTTGTCACACAGTTCATATTAAAATAAAATAAACTTCCATATACGGAGCAAAAAGGAAAATTATCCTAGAAGATAAAGAACAGGAAGAAGGGGGCTTTCCAGAAGGCATTTTTCTTGGGTGGGGGGGAGGGAGGGCTACTTTGGAAGCAAGCAACATTAAAACCATAAGTCCATAGAAAACAGAGAATTTAAGAGAAACCTTTGTGCATCAATTGGGGCTTAGAATGGGATCACCACTTCTGATATTACTAAAAGCTGGGGTTTTTCTTTAGGTCAAGAAAGTGAAAGCATTCACTTGTTTGGTATGATTAACTCTACCAAACTTCTTCTGATTTTCCTAAAGGGTAGTCTTTTATTTCCCCTACATGCAATTTTGTCAAAATTGTAGTTGTGAAGCTTTTTTAGTAAGTCAAGTGATACCAGTGCTTAGAGTTGCCACTTTATTAATATTATGTTTTTCAGTCTCTAAAGTGGATTTGTAATACTTTCAATGATTGCTGAAGTGCCCAAAGTGTGATGGGAAAATCTATCTTTTCTGATAGTGATAGTGATTCCTAGCTAAATGAGATCTTAAATGAGATCTCAATTTGGGCTTGCAAATGCCATAGTGCCCCCACAAAAAAGGAAGTGCATGTGTGTGTATATACATATATATATATATATATATATATATATATATATATGTATATATATATATATACAGTATATGTGTGTGTTTATGTTTGCATCTATAATACCACATTATATACCTATGGTGCCAAGCTAACATACATTTATTCTGCTTAAAGACTACTAACATTTTCCAGAAGAGGCTTTGTTGAGCCATATTTATTATCAGACACTGACTACTTATCTATGATTCTGGCATTTACATAGTTCAGGTAATCCTCGATTTACAACAGTTTCAAAGTTACAACAGCAATGGAAAAAGTGACTTATGACCATTTTTCACATTTACGACCATTAGAGAATCCACCAGGTTAAGTGATCAAAATTCAGACACTTGGAAACTAACTCTTATTTATGATGGTTGCGGTCATGTGTTCATCTTTTGTGACCTTCCGACAACCAAAGTCAAATGGGAAGACAGATTCACTTAACAATTGTATTAGTAACTTAACAATGGCAGTGATTTACTTAACAATTGTTGCAAGAAAAGTTGTACAATGGGGCAAAATTCACTTAACTGTCCCACTTAGCAACATAAATTTTGGGCTTAAGGACCACCTATATTTCATTTTCAAGCAACATTTTTCTCATGCTTGAAATTTTGACAAATAATTTCTAACAATCCAAAACTTATTTCATTTTTTAATATCATTTATTTTATTTATCACTTCATTATTATTTTGTTACTATTTTAAATCTCAATTTAGAGTAGTTCACATTTGAATGACTAGAAGTTTTTTTTAATGAATTTGAAAAAAAAAATTCTATCCAAAATGAATCTTCATGGGAAAATTATTCCAAAATAATAATATACAATAAGGAAATGGATCTTGTTGAAGCACAGTCACAAGATCACCTAAAATGGCTGTCAGATCTCATAAACAAATCATAACTTCCAAAGCAACTTAGATTTCCATATGCTTTCCATTCAAATTTCCATTTAGCAGCACAAAAATGAAACGTGCTGGAGATTAATTGATTGATTGATTCTTAATCAAATGCCAACAGCTTTGGGTAGCTTACAAACGGTTAGCAACAGAAAGAAGACAAACTTTAAAAGACGTAAGGAGGAAACGAAGAATTATACATATTATACTTTCCACTGTGACCCTCACATAATCCTACTCTATCTATGCCTTAATTTGATAGTTTTTCTTTATTTGATTCATATTCTACCTTTCTATTCCAACTAGATTCCCAAGGCAACTTATATCTCAAAACAATCACACACAAAGACTCAAGATAAAAATACTTCAATGAGACAGGAATGTGAAACAGAAACCTGGATCCAAAGGAGAATTATGCTTCAGAGGGGAACTGATGTGCTAGCTATACCTGTCAGCAACTCTTTAAAGGAGATAGAAATTGCAGGCAAAGAGTACCTGATAAGCAGGTCACCATCAGAAGGATCTTTCCTTTAGGTCTATGATTCAAACAGATCCTTAACAGTTACTTTCAAGCATCTTACGGAGTGCCTGACTAGATGGGCTGCAAACCTCTTCAATACTGTGTTTAGTAGATGTCACCTGACACTTAAGCATACTGAAAGACCTTTACATTGTACAGATAAGCTTTTCTGGAGGACAGGATACACATTTGGAGGAGCTGAAATATTTGATTGTCTCATTAGTTTTAACTTACTTTTTTCTTCTTTCGCTGTTTGACTTTGGAGGAATCTTGTCCAGTGCTGCCATTCCCCATAGTCCCAGGCTGAATTTTCCCAAGGTACTGTGGGCCCATCGATGGCAGGGTGGGTGTTGGTGGGGGAGTATTATCAGGTGAGTCTGGGTTGCTTTTCATATTTGCCGTCTGCCCTAAAATATGCATCTGAAAAAGACAAAATTATTCCTTCACCTATTGTTCTCTGAGTACATATACCACTCAGTTCCATGTTTTAATGGCAGAAGATGAACATGGTCAGAAACTGGGACATTCCAAGAATTGCAACATTTCTTTCTGGAGCCTGTTCCTTCCCAACCCTCCCCACCTCCAAAATCCAGAAGGATCCAATATAGATAGTTTCTGTTCTTGATAGATATTATACTTGATTAAGCTTCACTGATGAATCTAAACATATTATAATATACATCCTATAACATACAATTTTAATCCAAATCTTTCTGGTGGAAGTCTAATAGTACTCAGTATATACAATAGTATCTCAAATATACTTTCAGAAATGGTCACTGTTCCTGCCACCAGGTCTTCCATTTCTAAGATAAAATAAGTAGATGTAGGCATAGATGGACTCTAGGAGGTTACTGTATCATAGTAAATAATAATAATTTCACTATTTTTATAATATTATAATAATATTTGGAACAGCTTACATCCTGCAATGATACCTTTAATATCACAAAACATCAGCATCTGCCTATTCCAGATCTTTGGGAGGGACTCAATAAGTGGACAAATGCAGTATGAACATCTGGTTCACTATGTAATGAATCATAATTTTAGTTTTTTAAAAAACCCTGCTTTGGAACTATCTATATCTAGAAAAAATTGCCTTAATAATCCTTAGGTCCTTGGTTAGGATCTCAATTATTGCATTTTCACCAGTCTTTGACTGTAAATCTAATTACATATTTCCCATTTAAGAGTAATAGTTTTAAAAGAAAGGGTATAGTTTGATTTTTCTTCTCAATCTATTGCAAGGAAGGCCAAAAGATTTGTTTGCAATAAAATAAGTATCAATCTTTTTAAGTATATCAATTCTGAAATTAAAGTTGTAAATGCTAATACAAGTTTTATTATAAAGTTATAGTAACGGAAGCTTGCTAAACTGAATGTGCTCCCCCCCCCATACACACACACACACTTTATCCAGGGATGGGATCCGATCGGTATAACTACCGGTTCTGTTGCTCTGCGTTGCGCATACATGCGCGAGTCGCGCGAGTGCAATTTGCGACCTGCTGAGCTGCCCTGACAGGTGAGCAGCGCTGCGTGGAAGTGCGCAGCGGTTGGAAAAGCCTTTTCCTGCTTTTTCAACTGCAGCTGTGTCACACAAAGCAGCTGCGGTTGAAAAAGCAGGAAATAAAGGTCAGGTAAGAGCCCGGGCGGGTGGGTGGGCCAAAACAGTAGCAGACATAGAACCGGTTCTATGTATGCTCTCTGTCTGCTGCTCTTCAGAACTACTGGTTCTACAGAAGTGGACAGAACCAGTAGAATCCCACTCCTGACTTTTATCTATTTGAGAACTAGAGGTCATGTCTAAGATGGCTTCTCAGGTTACATGGCTGCAGTTTTCTTCCTTCTACTCCTCAAGGCTATTTCTACTTCTCTTTACAGTAGGCATTAGCCACACATAGCCCTGATACTTCATATGTGTATGTCCTATGGTGGGCCCAGGAGGAATAAAACATGCTCACTTCTGCAAAGTAGCTATTGAGCAAATGTTTAGCATATACAGTTAGTTCCAATAAAAGAGAATATCTGCAATTGAGGGTTGAACTGTGGAGTCCTTGGTGTCTCTGAACTTGGTTGTTTCTTTGCAGACATTTCATTCCCTGACTAGGTAACATCATCCATTAATTCCTCTTTATAGGTTCATATATATGCAGAAAGATGTGGTGGGAGCCTTTTCAGGAAAAGTGATTTAGACTTAGAGTAGAAGTATCAAACTCACGGCCCATGGGCTGGATGCATCATGCGCTGGCCATGCCCACACCCAGTTTAGCGAAGGGGAAAAAAATGTGAGTCTGACACCCCTCCTTTAGAGCTTCCATAAAAATTCCTATTGACATTTAAGTCCTTGTAATGAAACATAAAGCAAATCTATAAATTATATACCATATTCTGTAAGTTACCAACTTTAAGGTCATATTTACCTCAGCATGATGCTGCTGAATAAAAGTAGCAGATATTGCATGACTAAAAGGGTCACCAGCTTTCGGTATCATGTCTTGCTTGACCAAAAGGGCCAAGTCCACCAGCTAAAGAAAAAATGACAATTTAAAAATGAACAGATGAAAATCTTAACTTGATTGGCTACTAATAAGCATAGGATGCACTGAAAAGGGGGGGGGGGGAGTTTTTAATGTTTTGATACAAATTTAGTCCTGGAAAGTATTAGGGGCATGTGTTATTTTCCTTTCTATAAGGATAGTATCTTTCCATATTAATTTGCAATATAGACATGCAAAATGTTCTGTGCACCCACCATCCAGCATATGTTTTAGATAGTCCATTATGTAGATTAAACCACACATGGACCTGAAGCAAGCATGTTTTCAGCAGAACTATTTCAAGGTTGGATGAACAGGAGAAAAACAAGCCAATTAGTGGAAGTAAGGTATTTGAAAAACAGGAGGAGAAATGGGCAAGGTGGTTGGATATTCCAGCCTTGAATTTAAGGAAGTGGCATTTGGAGGCTAAGGAGAGGTGGGGAACAAAAGTGTAGGGGAGATCTTGCTAGACTGATTGAGTTCATTATGGCTTCTGTCTATGATTGCCCTCAAATTCAAATGTAACTAAATGGCATCTTCCCCTAAAATCATGAGAAATAAAAATATTTTCTCCTTACCTGTGCTACTGTCTCATATGCTAAATAAGCCAGCATTTCCATAGCACTTGCATTTGGTTTTATTTCCATGCTACTACAGTCCAACCAGTCTCGAAATTTGGAGGCTTTTTTGGCTGTATTGGAAAAAAAATAAAATATTAAGCCTGTATCTTCTGATTCCTACTGTTTCTTATGAAGAGTAAGACCTTGTAACCTCTGATGTAAGTGATGGAATCCAACATTCAGGGATACTAAGTTCACTGACAAGTGAGTGAGTGAGTGAGTGAGTGAGTGAGTGAGTCATTCAGTCAAATAACGTTACGGCAGCAAATATATCTAACACATCTTCCTCCTATTTTCCCCACAACCACCCTATGAGGTGGGTTGGGCTGAGAGTGACTGGCTTAAGTTCACCCAGCTGACTTTCAGGGATTAAGGCAGGACTTGAACAAACTTTTCAGCGAGAGAGCCAATCATCATCATCATCACCACCACCATCATGTCCTATCCTAAGCACACTGGGCTAAAAGCATACTCCACAATTTTCAGTCTGCAGCTACAATCTCTGCATCCTTCCATTTAAGGTTGATGTTTTTCAGATCTTCCTGAAATGCTTAGCACCACATTTTCTTTGGCCTTCCTCTTTTTCTCCAACCACCTGGTGGTATCCAATTGATTGTGTTTTTTTGCTGGACATTGCTCACTCATGCAGATCACATGTCAGGCAAGGAGCATTCTTCATTCTGTCACTATCTCAGAGAATCTTCAGGAATTACTTCTTTGTAGAATTTCCTTGTTTTGTGACATGGTCCCGATACAAGCTACGAAGAATCATCCTGAGATAATATTGTTGGAATACATTGATCTTATGAATAATTTTTGTTGTAGATTTCCAGAGCTCGCTGGCATAGATTGCAGTCGGTATGGCAATGGAATTAAATAATCTGATCTTTGTTGCTAGCAAAGAAGCTAACAGTCTTAGGCAGCTAAGCAACTACTGTGTTAACACTGTAGTCTCCTGGGTAATGTACCATTGTTTATGCTAAATAAACAATAACTGTCCTTTTTGATAAATGGATATAATAGATATTAAAAGAAATGAACGCTTCCCTATGCTTTAAAATATATTTTAAATATGTTTCTTTTCTTTTCTTTTCTTTTTTTAAAAAAGGTTATTCTGGCATGTTGAAAATAGAAATGGAAACACCATTTACAAAGCATACTGATAAGATCCTGCATTTAGATAGTTTTCAATTCAGAGAGCAGATGATGTGAGGCTCCTGTGAACCTCCTGATTACAAGTCGACTTTGGGGCAGAGGGAGAAGAAGTGAATATCTGAATTTCTGAATGTGGTTTATATCAATATCTGACAATATTTTGATTTATCTCAAAAGACATTTCATTTTTTAACCAAGTCTATGCAATATTTCTCAAGTAAGCAGCTTTGAATTGGATATTTCAAAAACAGCTATTATTTTTATACTAGGTTTTCATTTCTGTGTGTATAAATGAATTCTACTAAGTAACTACAGTATCACAGAAAACAATATGTATTTATATAAGTGTTTTTCCAAGTTCACATTTTCAATACTATTGTCTGAAAGAAATATATAATCAAGGTGTACCCTTGATTATAATTAAAAGGTGCAAAATATGAGGTTATCACATTTTAAGATGAAGAGTTTTCACTTAACTATTTACAGATGCTTAAAATGAACTCAGAAAAAAGCAATGTAACAGCAAAAACACTACTTACAGACCAAACTTCTCTGCTATTTGACATTTATAAAAGACACAATTGTGGATGTGTCATTTATTCTTCACATTGTGATCCTCAAGTGAACCAGTCATTTCTCCAAATCAAAAGCTTGTTATGGAAAACTAGATAAGTGCCTTTCATTTAAAGATTTTGTGCTTTTGTGCTTTCATTTATCACTGGAACACACTGTGCTATTTTGTTGAGTTTTTTTTTTTTTTATGACTCCTTCAGTGTGCTCTTTTTCTCTCTTTGACCTCTAAGCTCTTAACATTACTTGTAGTTATTTTTATTATTGTTTTATGACAAAGACCCTTAATAAAGTAACAGATAATTAAAGTTATGATATTTGGAAATGTAGGGGAACATAGGGTAATTTTATCAGGTAAATTAATTAATAACTGGATAAGATTTAAAATTAATCCCAACATCAGTTATATTTTTCTTTACTACTATTGATGTCATTAACTTGCCATCACATTCTGCTCTTTTTTAAGCAATGAACATGTACAAGAGATTAATACAAGAAGAAATCTTATGAAGGGACTCCCAAATTCATCCATAATGAGACTCACTGAACTTGAATGTACTTTCATGTTCTCTTTAACAGCGTTATGTTTAGATGATGTGCATTTAGTTGGCTTACCAGGAAAATTAAAAGCCTCTGGGGAAAAACAAACAAATGAGAGACAGTGCCATGATTGCAAGTTAGGCGCAAATGGCATTTTTCCCCCTTGTCTTGGCACTAAATGTATTTGCTTTTTAACCACTACCAACAAGCAAAATACTACTTCTGAGAGTAAATTTTTACACAATACTTACAAAAGCTCAACTGACGGCTTTCACTGAATTCTGCATATTGTGCTGAATCCATCACTCGTGCTTGTCTTTCTGCTCTCTGAAAAATGATATAAACTAATAAATAAATACATCACCCAAAACATTAATACAACTCTTTCCTACATTTCTTCATGAATCACAGGATGATATCTCTCTCTCTCATACACACACACACACACACACACACACACTCCTTGAAGCCTTTATTTATTTATTTATTTTACTTCATCAGCTATGAACAAGTTATAATGTAAAAATATATGATTATGACACTACATTGGAGCACCCTATCTTAATCATAATCCTGCCACAATTTGTTTATTATATTAGCAAAATGATAATATGAGAAACCTTGAAAATAATTAAATTAAATCTAAATACTCTTCTGCTATTCATTTATCAGTGCATTATTGTTATTTTTCACCAATAAAAACAGTTCTCTTTGCCTATTTTTTATTTCTACAGTCTGGAACAAAGCAAGAAAACAGAGCAGTGCTCAAATGAAGGATAAAATTATATGTGACTATCTTAAAGTAGGACCTGGAGTCATTATAGCAATAGCACTTAGACTTACAGTGCTTTACAGCCCTCTCAAAGTGGTTTACAGAGTCAGCATATTGGCCCCAACAATCTGGGTCCTCATTTCACCCACCTCAGAAGGATGGAAGGCTGAGTCAACCTTGAGCCTGGTGGGATTCGATTTGCCAAATTGCAGTAGGAGTAGCTTGCAGTACTGCACTCTAATCACTGCGCCACCGAGGTTCCTTATTATGATAAATTAAGGGGGGGGGGGGAGGAAATCTTGCTACATATTAGTCTCTCCCAGTTCTTTTGGAAACTGTTTACCTCTATATCTGGTGCCATTTTCCACTTTAATCTACCTTTTTTATTCTCACTCTATTCAACTTGATTTGCTGATGCTGCCATCCAGTTTAATTTAATATAATGTGAACATATATGGTTCCTTTTTGTAGATGCTATGACATTACCCTTTCAGATGCAACTTCCAAACAATACAAATGAATACTGTTAACCAAGTCAATAAAGGAGCAAGGAAGAAGAAATTGTTGATCAGAAGAACACTGCTCACAGAACAAATAATTGAACATGAAATGAGTAGCTTCAACTCAGCACTAACTACATTCCACTTGGTTAAGATCAACAATGATGATAGATGATAGTAATGAAAGATTAGTCTGATGTTCATTAAAATTTGACAGAAATCCTATAGTTTTGAAAGGACAAACTAGAATTTGTTAATCTCGTTTCTGTCCTTTCAGTTGTCCCTGTACAGCATGAAGTATTCTGCTGCCATCACCTCCAGTGGACCTTCCTCTCTATTCTCCTAGAGGCAATCATCGTGTTCTACCTCACCTCCACTGGGCTTGCCAACATCACTAAGGAGAGCTGTCTCAAGATCTGTGGTGCAGCAAGCAGCTCCAGAGTTGCTTTCCCATAAGGCCAAGGGAACCAAGCAAGCCGACAACATATTCCCCTGTCCTAAGGTTTCCAGTATGTACACAAGCCAGAAGAAATAGAAATTCACTCTCAAAAAAAAAATCCTCCTTGATTATAGGATTGGAGCTTTATAACTCAAAAGCCATGAAGAATATTCAGTATAAAACAAACAGAACTGCTGTTATAATCACAAAAGTCAAATGGTACCTGAGTTAATGAAATATTGCTAAACTGTAAATTTATTGCAAATCGTAAAGGCCCTAAAATTTATTTCATATTTGAAATTTAGCTGATTATGTCCTCTAAAATCCACATAAAATTTAATTAGAAAACAAAGCCGAAAGTATACAATGATATAAACCATCTTAAAATTAGATACAGTCTGAGTCTTCAGCTGAAGCTAACAAAACTTATGTAAGACACTGATTGGAGCTGGGATAAGCTACATCCAAATAAAGAACAGATACCCAAGCAATTCTTGTTATCTTCTTTAATCTTGCATTTTAAAGCACATCCTTCTCTTCTATCCATTAATATGAATGAGTATGTAAGGAGTAGTAGTTTTCAAAGTTATATGAAACATTATTGTGAATTTCCAACTTAACAAGAAAGACTAATTTATACCAAAGGCAGGATTAGATTTCAACCTTAAAAGGGCCTCAAGAGGAAGTAATAATCACATATTTTCTTCTTCCTCCTTCTACCTGAAAAAAATGTTTGTGGAATTTTCTATGAACTACTCTTGAGCTAATCTATGAGGAATGTAGCAAGTTGCACAGAGACTTCAACCAGATGAGAGTTATATAAATGAGAGGTCCATACATATCTAGCCTTCTACAGAAAGTTGTTTTTCTTAATTATTCTTGTCATTCAGTATCCCCTTTGGATTCATGAAAGGATTTAGAATGTTGAGGTTGCAATGGGAATGTATCTATTTCCCAAACAGAAGTTTATTCTTTACATTAAAGTATGTATATGTGTGTGTTCACATGTATATGAATTTTGTTTATAGGTTAATAATATTATATATTATATTCCATATTATATAATAATATATTTTATAATAGCAAAATAGCAAATGCGTTTTTCCTTCCATTTTATGAATTCTGAAAAAGAATATATTGCGGCAGCTGAGCCTTTTGAATGTTTATTTAAACCTGGTTTGGTTATAATTTTCCATAAACCTAAAAAAGGAACTACATATACATTAATTTTACATTAATCTCAATTTCTTAATATGTAAAATTTCAATCTAAGAAGATTCCCTCAAGTAGGTGTTTCAGTGAAGATTTGAAATGCAACCTTACCAAAGTATTTCAGTGTTGACCTAAATCACATCACAGAAATTTATGGAAATAAGCCTAATGGAAGTTGGGCTTTCTAAGTGTATCTCAGAGACAAAGCTGAAGAACACCTATTCTGGAGTTTATTCAAACATGAAAACCAAAATAAAACACACTAAATCAAGGAAAAAATTGCAAGATTTTTGTATATTCCATAAATTATACATTTATTTCTCTCCCAAATAAATGTTTAAAACTATTATGAAGCGTGAAGTTAGAATTCTGAAAACAATTAAGGGAGCATTCATAAATGTGAAAGACTAATCAAGCAAAAGTTTGCACAGCCTTCATGCTATAAAGTTTCACATAGTTTCAAATACTGGTATAACAACACAATTATTCTGATGTTTATCCTAGAGTGCAAGAGAGAGTCCAATGGGATGGAAAGGAAAAATGAATGCAAAGAACATCAACTGTATGTGGATTCATTAGTTTGAGCTTTACTGATAATTTATCCTGTTTCCTAATGAAAGCAAAAAACCTCCCCCCAAAACCCACCATGTCTCTATTAAAAAGCAATCAGATTTGGTATATTGGTGACACTTTAAAGAGCACATTATGTGGGAAAACAAAATAAACATTTACCCTGGCAAATGAAAGTAGGCTTGGGGTTTTGACATGCTTGGCAGGCAAGCAGAATTATATTCACATCAAGCACACAGAAAACCTAATTTAATATTTAAATATTTGCTTAAGTAATACACTACTTTAAAGCAACAGATTAGAAGACACATTTTTATCAAAACTTTTTTTAAATACTCTAGAAAGAATACCCCATTGAAGTAATACATTCAGGTGAGATCAGAGTTTTGATCTCTGTATGATATCGCCTCTGGTTTCAGACAACCAAATAGGCATTTAAGTACACTTCATCAGTCAGCAAGAGCTATTTCAAAACTATCTGCTAATAATCTGCTGAGCATTACAGACTGTAACACTCACCAACAGATTTAAATTTGTAAAATCTCATCAAAGCATTTATGCATTTGAACTCCTGATCCAATTCATTCTGACCAAGAAACACTTTGTATGTTATGATTTATGTTGATTGCTTTTATTAGTATCCTAGTATGATTTATGTTAATTGCTAATTTGGTATCCTATGAGTATCACTGAGTGTTGGATCTTGTGATTTATGATGATTGTATTTTATGATTATGATCATGATTTATCACTTGTTGCTTGTATGTACACTGAGAGCTTATGCACCGGAGACAAGTGTGTCCAATCACACTTGGTCAATAAAAAATTCTATTCTATTCTATTAAAAAAAGAACCCAAAAAATCATATTCCAGTGAGGCCAGTAAACAACTCTTAAATATGTGTAGTATTTGAAAAAAATGCACTTTATTTTGAATTTTCAAATTCCTTTCCTTTTTATTTTCTATTAGCAAGCTCTATAGACCAGGAGCTTGTTATCTTAGATCGCAATCTATTACTTGTGATGACATTAGCTTTGGCCCACCGTAATTTACAAGGTACAGTAATACATTCATTAGATATAAAGATGTCAAAATATTCTGTCACTTCACATGGATTGACTAGGTTTATGGACTGGACAATGTTCCATGTGTCCACCAACCAATCTAAACATTGATTTTTGTCAGTACAGAGAAAAGAAGACTGATCTATACTTACAGCAAGCCAGAATAGAGTAGTGGTTGCCATAAAATTTCTACAATAAGAATTTTATTTCTTTTGCTTTTCTTATTCCTTTAAAGGAACATATTTCTAGCAAAAGGCTGTCCAGAAAAGAATTTAGAATAGAATATGATCAAAAATTCCTTTTTTCTCCTTCCAATTTTCTCAAATACTTTTCTTTAAGTTCCCATCTATACATGTTTTTTTTAAATTGAGCTGAGTAGAAATGGAGGAATATACAAATGGAACAGCTGTAAATTTATATTACACTATCAGCAATCATATTCTCTCTCTTTCTGTGTCTCTTGACACACACACAACCCTATCATCAGTCCATCTGAGTAGCCAGTATTCAATTTAATTCCATTTAAATTTTCCTCCATCATCATCATCATCATCACAAGCCTATGGTCACAAGCCACGGTCATCCACATCTTCAAAAAGGGAGACCCTAGTTGAAAATTACAGACCAATCTCCTTATGCTGCGTCACCTGTAAAGTCATGGAATCAATTATTAATCAATCCATTATCGTCCACTTAGAGACAAACAACCTACTTTCTAATAAACAATTTGGTTTCAGAAAAAAAACTATCCTGTAATCTGCAACTCTTAC